TTCAATACAATGTAGATTACCAACACGCTCAAGTCTATAAAAACTTATTTTCGCGTTTTTCCCCCTTTTAAAGGTGAATTTAAAATTATCTTGTGTCTTATTGTGATATGTATCGAAACGAATCTGTGCAGCTAGATAAATCAAACTAGCCAACTATTGTGTCCTGTTTGCAAACGTCGATTAAAAAAAGAACAAGCGTCAGCATCAGGGTATTGTGCACAGCGGCAAAAAATGTAAATAGTAGACGAGAGGTTGCAGTTAATTCAAAAAGAGGGGGCCAGAAGGGAGCAAATTATGGGCAAATTTAGTTTTTCAATCACTGGAGACACACGCACACAAAAAAGCCTAGTATGACATTGTCTGTAGTCTTCAACTACAACCCTAGTATAGAATAGAGCCACTAAATGAGCTGCGCTGATTTAGTGGCACTAGTATAGATCAGTGTCTGTTCTGTTCCATTGGCGCCGCCACGTTTGTTTATGCTGACGCCATGACACAGTAGAGGGCTGCGATTTTTGCAAGACTGTTTTTTTTTCAGAAACCCTCGGACATATTGTAGTTCAAAAACGCCAGAAATACATATAGTCACGAAGCTCCAGGAACAACACCGATACCAAGAGTGCTGTAAAAAGCCAAACTATTGTTTTATGCGCAGCCCCTCTCTTCACAAGAGCCTGCGTTTGAGATTGTCATTTTCCATTTGTATTGCTGGGGATGTATATATATATGTGTATATATATATATATATATTTTTTTTTTCTATTTCGACCAGACGGCTTCCTCCCTATTTTTCTGCTGCTTTTTCTTATATTTTTATTGTGACCGTTGGTTTTTAAGACACCTGGTAAGCCAGGAGCATGAACTCCTCTACTCTTTTGTCTCACTTTAACGTAGATAGTAGCGGAAGTTTGACGGGTACCCCACTCACGATTCTTACCTTTGTACAAGTACGTACATCCATGCTGCACACTTTCAATGGGTATATTTGCTTTTCTGTTGAATCTTTCAGCGCGTTCTGGGACGCTGTTTTTAGAGCCTTCGCAAGAGAGAGCTATCGACCACTCCACTACTTGCCGCGTACTGCCATCCTTGTCTCCTGTGGAACATGCCCTGACTCCTGAGCATGCGCACTAGCTTTCTTCTGCTTTATATTGGACGCCGCGCTTGCGCCCACGGCCCAGCGACTCGGCATTTATAGCCCGGATGGTAAGCTCTGTAAAGATGTACGCTCGGGAACAAGGTATTGTGACATTTTCGAAGGGAGAAAGAATTCGCGCGCACAGCTTTCATTCGCTTTAATCGGCACTACAGGTGGGTAACAGCACGCGTTCCCGCATCTTTGATTGCAATGCCACGGGAAGTCGTCCCCGAATATACATGGGTCAAGCATGTGGCATGCAAAGAAATCTACATTAAAGTCACAGTATCAACACTAGTTTCGCTCTTACAGCCTTGAAAACGGCAATTCGCACTGATACTGAAACGTAATTCGAGACGCATGTATAGGGTGGTGCAGCAAGCGGATCTCCCACTTTAAAACGAGCCCAAAAAATCGGTACCTGGGCACTGAGCATGTGATAGAGCGCAGCCGAGCTGGTAATTAATCGACATCTTGTAAACCCTGTTGTGTTCGTCAGTTGTTTTTATTTTTATCGCTCCTTTCTCAGGGTCTACGAGATGTAGTTTTCTTTCTGTAAACAATGAAAGCAAGAAACTTGCCAAAGTCAACGCTTGGCGTGTTCGCAGACGACCGAGTTCGCGACTCTACTTGTGGCGAACGTGCCATAAGTATAGTGCGAGCCCCCCCCCCCCCCCCCCCCCCCTCCCCCCAATCAGGTGAGCTTGTACCAACCAAACTAAAGGCGCCACAGTTTGTTTAAAGCGTCAACGCAGGAGGCATATGTGCTCCCCGTCGGAAAGATCCAGTTTTCTCAGCTGCCTGAATCTTGTGCTGTTATAATAAACTAACTTGTAGTTTCTTTTTTAATTGCCAGCGTCGTTGATGGGCCACTTCAATGGTTTATAGCCCCACCCAACATTACCCTAACGCCGGGGTTTTGTTGCTTATACATCACAAAAAAGACAGACTGCATACAGATTCAAACGCGAGTCACCGCGAGATCCGTGCTTCGAATGCCGCATGGCAATGAGTTCAAGGAGGAAACTTGGGCAGACGGCATTCGAACCACGGATATTGCGGTGAATCCTGTTTGCAGGCTCCCTTTTGTATGATGTATGAGAAGTGTGACCCCGGCATCCACGCACTCAGCTTGTAAGCTAAAAGGGAAGCTAAAACACTTATTGAAAAAAAAAAAAAAAAACGAGCTAGAGGTGATTTATGGATTATTTTTATCCTACTGATCTGAATATCACGTTTTTTTTCCCCCGAAGATGCCACTAAACACGAGAAAACACGAAAACCCTCCGACCAGTCGTGACGTCACACTGGAATATTTGGGCCGCCAAGCGCGTGTCGCTCTTGTGGGCAGAGCGTGCAATCGCGAGCTTGCCAGGTATATTTCCTCGCACTGACACCAGTCGTGACGTCTTTTTCGGACCATTTTTGGAAATAGCAAGAGTGCGCGTGCATAGCTTTGACAGGCGCTGCAGATTCGCTAGAGCGGAGACTCTGAAAACTCTTAAAGGGGCGGTGCAACGATATTCAATTGGAATGTTTTTCACTTTACACGAGCTTACTGGCACTAGTGGGACTCAAGGATATTCGCACGCGACGCCACTGACCGAGAAACTCCTTTGTTGTGCTGTAATTTTGAGGACAAAACCGAGTGTTTTCATTCAACCTCTCCTTCGCAAAACCTAATGACGTAGCTGGGCGGTAGCAGTACCGCCCAGTGACGGTATTTGAATGCGGCTCATAGATTGGACCCGAGCATGGCGTGGACACTCGATTTGGACTCGTGATAATCGATAGCTCGAGAAGCATTCGGGTAGTGGCCCGTGTCCAATCCCTGCAATGACGACAACAGCCGAACCATAACAATGTCTGGAACTCAGCGCGTGTCCTGTGCCTTGCCAACCCCGGCGCATGGCTATGATCAACATTGGCGGCATTTAATCGGCTCCAGATCACGTGGCCGCTTGTTCTGACTGCGAGTTGAGGCGGTGAACTCGGCTCGTTTTTCTTTATTTTTTTTCTGCGACTTCGATTGCGGGTGGTGAAAAACGAACGGGTATTTAAGAGGTCATTAACGTCAGGGATCCGTTCTAAGCGGTATTTGCGCAAAATACAAAAATCGTTGCATCGCCCCTTTAAGCCTAGTTCACATGCAGCGGTTTTGGCCCTAGAGCGGCGCGATTTCTGCCGTCGCGGCGCTCTGGCCAGCACCAGCAATTCTGCGGCACGAGCGCCGCGACGGCAGAAATCGCGCCGCTTTAGGGCCAAAATCGCTGCATGTGAAACACGCCTTTAGGGCCAAAATCGCTGCATGTGAAACACGCTTTTAAAGCGTGTTTCACATGCAGCGATTTTGGCCCTAAAGCGGCGCGATTTCTGCCGTCGCGGCGCTCGTGCCGCAGAATAGGTGAGCGGCGTTTGGCGACTTCCGGTTCTTTAAGAAAATGTGTTTAGCTGTTCACAAACAACGACGATGATCTACAAGCCTGTCTAAACATGGTTCCGAAAACTACAGTCTGAAGGTTTTAGAATTATGCTTGCTCGGGCATGCAGATCATTGTCGTGGTTTGTCAGCAGTGGAACAAAATTTCCTAAGGAACCGGAAGTTGCAAAACGCCGCTCACCTATTGCTGGTGCTGGCCAGAGCGCCGCGACGGCAGAAATCGCGCCGCTCTAGGGCCAAAACCGCTGCATGTGAACTAGGCTTTAGTATGATGTCACGCCCCGAAAAGGAGGGGCTTCGGCGGTACTTTCAAATTTATTTTCTGTGGCCTCAGTGCATAAAGGGAAAAATAATCTCGATATTTGTGGTCTTGGAGGCCGAATAAAGGCAATTGAAGCGTTTTATTTTTTTTTTTTTTTCTCAAGTACAAAACCACTTTAGTTTTCCTTTAAACCCAACTCATAGAATTTTCTAAACGAACTTTCCGGTATATTATTTGTCACCCTGACATATCTGTTTCCCAAATACGCGACAGAACAACAGAATCATTTTACGTACGCGTCTGCCGAAATGCAATTGATATGCTTCTCTGAACTTTGCTTTGCTTTGAAACGTATTTATTTATTTCTCTGAACTAAAACAATCCCACTTAGACAAATTTATCTTCATTGCGCTAAACGAGTTACAAAGTATATCTTACCTAAACCAAGTGTTAGATTACTGGTATGAACCATAATTTGGAACATACCTATATTTTGGAATGTGTACGAAACTTCGCCCTAGTTGCAGGTTTAACCGAAGGCGGCTACTAGGGGCATCAGTCATTGGATTACTAATAAAGAATTTTTTTATTATTGCCACTTATTTAATAGATATATGGTGCACACTCATTGATGGTAAATGGATAGACTCACTACTAGTTCGGTGGTAAAATAATTTTATGAAAACTGATCATATCCTTAAGAGATATAAAATTAGCGTCGCACTGGGCAAAAAGACTAGCAAACCAAAACCTAATCTTTAAACAGATTTCTTAAAGCATACCAGAGTTTTGCTTTTAATTGTAAAGGGTCGTCTAATATCCAGCCATTAATACGGATACGAAATGAAGGGCCCATCATAAAATTTTAGAGCACACGTCCAAATAGAGAATCCTGTATAACCCACTGGTAACAGTCTCCTACTGAGGCTAGACCGCTACAGCAAGAACCTCTAAGATTTAAACGAATGCAACTTATAAAATAAAACGACTCACAACTATGTGTGCGGTGTTGCACACGCGGTATACCTCTCAGAAAACGCACCATGTGAAATGGCGGACCTTTTTCCCTTCCTTCTTACTCTTTTTTTATACTCGCTCTTTTTCCAGTAAAAACAAAAATGAAGAAAAAAACTCGTTCTGAAAGTGAACTTAAAGCGGCATTTTCCTGGACGCGCTGGTGTCTAGCCTTTGGACAAGAGCCCTCACGTCGGGGCCACTCGGTCGGATCGCCTTCCAAAACGGAGGGATGAACAAACAGGCACCTCGGGAACGAGGAGCCGCTTAGGCGGGCGCACCGCCAAAGGGGGCGGCCAAGCCCCACCCCATCCACTCAACAAATCCTCCTCGAAACTCGACACTCGACGTCAGCTGCAGAAATTTCCGGCCTCGCCGTCAGAGCGATTCGCGGCTGCGAAGCGCCGCTTGGCCCCCTTCCTTTGTTTGCGCGCACTTGAAGCGATCCCGATGCCCTTCACAGCTTGACACTCCCGCTAGACGACGGGAGGCACCACAAGACTCAAAAATTGAAAGCCGAACCTGAACAATAAAATACACGGGGCACAGGCTAAAAAGAAAAGGAAAAGCAGAACTGAAAGGTGTTTGAGGGAGATTGTTACCTTCGCGTCGGAGCACCGTCGGCCAGCGACGTCGAAAAGACACATCTACACATCGCTGAACCGAAAAAAGAGAGGTGCAGATTGATCGTATACCACAGAACGGAGCAACACATTCTCTTCGCTGAGGAAGATGGTGGGATGGTCCGTTAATCTTCCTTAAACATGGGCTTCTTGGCGCCTTTCTTGTCCATGGGCGTTTGAAGGTGAGTTGAAACGTCTTCCACGACCGTGGCTACCAACGGAGCAGGAGGCCCTGAACGCTCCGCTTCTTGGCCAACGATCTCGAGCGAGGACTGTTTCTTCTTCACCACTTGGTTGACCTCGGTGCTAGTAACACTCGCGTTCTCGTACGTTGCTACCTTCTCAGTCTTCGATGACACCACATCAGTCGTACTATCGATCTCCTCGACGCGCATCGGCCTCTGTGAAGTTTGGAGGGTCTCCGAGGAGGAATTCTTTACTTCTTCCTTCCCTTGTTCTGAATCAGGTTTTGCTTGTTCCAGCGTAGTCTCAGACGAGTGCTCCTCTAGTGAGACAACCGCCGTCTCGGGTACCTTCGTTGCAAGAACCGCCTCCGTAGAACTCGCCACAGGCTGCTCTTCGCTTGGAACGTCAGGCTTGTGGTTAAAGGCGGAGACGGGAAGTTCCGACTCCTCCTCGGCCTGTTCGGAGATAATACTGATGACCGTAGCAGGCAGAAAAGACGGGTGTTTCTTATCGGGGGAGGTCGGGCTCAACTCCTCTTCGGTCAGATCTTCTTCCAGCGACGGATGTTCTTGCTGTCGCATGATGCGAAGCTTGGTCACAGCAATCGAGTCTTTGCGTCGCATGTTGAGTCTGGAAGGCGGCGGTTCGGCGACTTCATCCTCTTCTTCCTCGTCCTTAGCTTCTCTTGGAACCGGGGGTGGAAGCAGGGACCGGCTGAACGGTTGGATTTTGTCCTCCTGGTGCCAGCCGAGCCTGTGGCCCGGCCGCTTCTCCGAGTCATCCTGAGACATGGAACGTAGGATGGAGGTCGTCGGCAAAGTACTCTCTTCGGGTGTGCCCGCCGCATTGACCTCGGGGGCCGCCTGTTCGTCGTCCTTCACACGGATGGTCACCGGGAGCTTGGTCTTTTTCTCAGGGGAGGACGCGCTGAATCCGGTCAGGTCCGGAACGGAGGTTTCCACCTGGTGAGGCACCGCAACGCGTTCGGCGAGCGTCGGCTCGGAAGTCGCGACTCCGGCGGCATGGTGGACGACCCCATCGTACAACTCGATGGTCTCTTCTTGTCGCTTGCTGCTGACTTCTTCGCTGGTGTTCGTTTGGATGTGGGAGTCGTGACGCTGCTCGGTACCCGTAGTCTTGTCCGTGACCTGCTTGGTGCTCGCCTTGCGCTCCGTGACGGATTTGCTGACTGTCTCCTGCATGACGGTGCGCTTGATGCTGCGCAGGACCGGCGTCGGCCCTCGGGAAGAGACGCGAGCAGCGCCGGGGACGCCCGTGTCAGCGCCCCCGCCACCCAGAGCCGCATCGGCGGAGCTGCTACGCGTAGCCATTGGGGAAAGCCTATCGAGCGTGAAGGAGACAGCAATCAGTCACTTCTCGAAGCTTTCTTGTTGTTGTCTTCTTGGGGGTTTCGTCAGCAGCGTAGGAGAACCAACTGACTGTAAAGATTGAAGGGTTGAGAACAATAGGTACCCTCAGACACCTTGCGTCTCCGAGTTTATGATGACTCGTTAAAGAGGTCGTACCGGAAAAGAAACGAGGTTTTTGCGTAGGCTGTACTTCGTTTCACCTTAAGTCCAGAAGCAGCCGACGCTACGAGCCGATACGACCACCCAGACAGCGTCAAAAGCGCACGATCATGGTGTGTGTCACGTTTCTGTGCGTGTTATATTATCAACGAACCAATCATAAGCATAGAAGGTTCAGCGACTTGTATTTTTGACGCTGCTTGATTAATCCGATTAGCTCGTAGCATCGTCTGCGTCTGGACTTAAGTGGAAACGAAGCACTCTAATTGAAATTGTAAGGTCTTCTTCAGAGTTTGCCAGACACTGGTCCAGCACCTACGCTCTAAAATATATATTTATATATATATATTTCGCCATCCCATGAACTCCTTCCGCTCGTGCAGAATGGTTTCGCCTCAAGCACTATCGCCCTCTGGCACTTTAGAAAGGCAATTGGGCGATGAAGCACTCTTCGCATCAAAAAAGAACCTCTCTAGAACCCTTTTAGGGGGTGTTTAAAATAACTTTTTAGGGTGCAAAATATTGACAAGAGTTCTTTTGGGACCAGATTTTTTTAGAGTGTACTTTATAGGCCCCTATAGACCCCGACAGCATAAGAAACGCAGTGCGTCGCGAGTTCTGAGAATCTCATTATCGCTCCGCAGCCAATGAGGTTGAGGCATCAGGTGATCAGAACACGCCGAAGAACCAGTCCCGAAGCAAGGAGAGTGATTATAATGATGTGTCACGCCCTGCGTTTCCTAAGCTGCCTGTGACTATGTGAAGCACAAGTTCGTCTGCTTGTTGCGCAGGGGTACCGGTGACGTCACAAAGCCGAGCTCTGATTGGCTCTGATTGGAAGGATAGTGGGTAGACCTCAAGGTAGCTAGCATTAAGGTCTACCCACTATCCTTCCTATCGGAGCCAATCAGAACTCTGCGTCGTTCTGACGTCACCGCAACCCCAGCAAAAGAAGCAGACGAACTTGCGCTCCCCATTGTAACACCACTCCAGCAGTCGGCCACTCAGTGTTCCAAATTGCTCGACGCCAGGGAAGATGTTCGCCCTTAGGTAATTATTAGCGTATGTCCATAGAGAAAACACAAACACGAGCGTCAAAGAATGTATGTCTGTATACCTCCCGCTTCAATCAACATGCAAACACCCCCTATCCGCCAACACTCCATGGTGTCCTCCTCGCTCGTAATCCAGTTCAACTCAAGATCAGAGATTGCTACTTCGAGTTTACCGGAGTGTGGGGTATCGCCCACGTACGGACATTTCTTAAAACGCGGTGGCGGTATTATGTACGTAGGTGCTAATGAAGAATAGTTAGATTATATACACTTCGAGCATACGTGGCTTATATAAACTCATAGAGGCCTGCATATGATAGTTATACTTAGTAGGATAATTATAATTAGGAATGTCGCGAACCTGCAAAGATTCGAGTTTGACCGGGTACGACTTTTTCGAACTTCTATTCCAAAGTTCCATTAAAGTTCGACTATTATGTGCATCCGCAGAAATTGAAAACGAGCTGACGTCACCTGGCGGAAGAGAGGTACAATATCTTTTAGTACTATTTTTTGGAGAATTTACATTACTTAACTTATACCCCCAGGTGACAAAGTTGATATTTTTTTCCGTCGAATAACATAATGAGGTTCGCGAATCAGATTGAGAACCTGACTACGAGCGTCGCGCATGCATGCACCAAGCTGCTCCAGCACTGACGCGAGCTTATTCGCAGATCACGAAACTGTATTCAATGGGAACGACATTAACGTTGCCATGTGGCAGGGGTATAAAAAGAAATTTTAGTTTATAATTTTGAGTTGCGCAAACTTTGTCAATCCATACTATGAAATACACAATATGTTATTATATATTATTTCCTTCCCAAAGTTTCAAATTCGGTGAGTAGAAGTCAGGCAACACTGTTCGTAAGTCGAACATGGTCGACCTTTCCTGGGTAATCTAAAGTTCCCAGTTGAACCTCGAGGTTCCGACGAACGTTCGTGACATCCCTTGTCACATTTATAAACAAACAACTGGAGCAGCGAGCTCTTGTTCATTGACAGCCGTGCAACACGAACGGGCACCGCGAGGCCAGCCTCGAAGGCGCACCCCGGCGCTGCAACCTCGGAGTCCCGGCCCTCCTCCGGCGGTGCTGTGCCACAGCGTCCACCACGACCCTTCGGGACTCGGCCACTCGTCGCCCCTGTGCTGCGCGGCTGCCGCCGCCGCGGGGTACCAGGCATCACCACTCCTCACCTCGAGGCAGCAGCTCAGGGACCTCTGCTGGACGCCCAGCAGGGAACCGCGAGAGGTCGCGAGCAACGCCAGAGCCACCAGCGGTGAGCACTTTCTGACCGCGAGGCCACTTTCGTAAAGCGCGAAACGCACGTAAGCAAAAATCGCGTCGCGTCGCGCCACCGAGCGGAGTAACCATAGCAACCGCCGCTTACGCTATGACGCGGCCGAATGCTCAGCACCCACGTGGTGGCGTCAGCGATGGTTGTTATGGTGGCGCCACACATCGGCACGACGCGAAGCGGTTTTTGCTCACTGTGTTTCACGCATAAACCCAACTCGGCGACACTTGCATCCGGTAGAGAGTTGAATGAGCAACGGGTGTTTTTTCAGTCAGATGGGTAAGCGGATGTGTTAACAAACATCTTGACCTTCAAACTATCGGTGATACGCGCACGTCATGTGACACTTGCGGACTTTGCTGATGACAGCATGCTGCCAAGTGACACATGTGATGCAAAAAAAGAAAGAAACTAAATATTGTTGGTAGGTGGCTGGCTATGGGCTATGACAATCGTGTTTTATAAGACGTTCACAAGGAAAAAAAGACAAAATACGCACGAGCAGTGACGAAAAAGGAGCATACATTAAAACTGACTGCTTATGCGCCGACTAACAGAGGGAGAGAACCAGACAAGAGAGCGCGGGGGGCACCAGAACGCTGAGCTCCAACTAATGCTTAGTGAGTAGAAGTAAAGCCTTTGTCTCTATTCACTCTTCGAACGCGTTCGAATGCGGAGCGATGGACGCCGGCGTTTGGCAATCGAACCCGTTCGACGAGTCCAGTGTAAACAAAGTCAGCTAGCTTCGAGGTCAGCCCAGAGCTCGGCGTCCTCACGTGTCCTCCTCTCCCTCAGTTTCTCGGTGCATATCTGCTTTTGTTTTCATAACCAATAACTATCCAGGTGATATTAGTTGAATACATATCTTACATTCGTGTGATTTCTGCTGCCTTATTGAAGGTTTATCTCCCGCGAGCGTAGCTCCCTTATTCGGTAGTTCGAGACAAGCACTAAGTAAGATCATGGCCACCGTAACAGAGGCTATGATAGAAATATCCACCAGCACTATGAAATCTCATTTTCGTGCAAGCCACCTATTTCTACATGTAATCCACATGACGTCATCGGGACCGTGCTGTACTTGTTTCCGCGAAAAAACAATTTTGTGGTGCAAAATGTTTGCTGCAGAATGTGCATTCGCCTCAAATGGGGCGTCAATGCAAGCCGCGTATCGATAGTTTGGCGTAATAAATGTCTCTTTGACTGTCATACTGCTAGTTTCTCTCCTGTCCCTTCACCGTGTGTATTGTGAACGCGGAAACGTCTCACAGTCTAAGATGCACCGGAAGCAATTACCGATACTGCTAAATGACATCAAGCGTAGGCCATGTTCACCTTCCGCGCGAAAGGCCTCACCTGAAAACGTACAGCGTTGGAGCAGTTCACTGTCCAATGGCGTGAAGCTCCGGTGTCCGCTACGGGTATTCTACCATGTCCAGGCAGGACGTGCCCGCGCTCGGCGCGGGGCACCGCTCGGGTGCCACGACCCGAATTTGGCGGCGCCTGTCCTTTGGCCCATGTCCCGCTGGTAGGGCAATTTAGTCTTCGTCGTCGTCTTTGCTTCAGTGGGTCCTCTGGCGTTGAAGACGGTTGCTCCGAGTCAAAGCGAAGAAGCGTGCCCGCAATCTCAGGAACTGCGGGGAAGGCGCCGTGTAACCGAGATTTCAGTTTCACGCCGAAAGGATCCCCAGGCGGTCGAAATTAATCCTCGGTCCTCCGCCGGGGCGTGCCAAATGTCGTTCGTTGGTTGGGCGCTTAAAACTCCCAAATTTTTATTTTGTTTGATTTGGCGTGGACGGCTGATGACGTCGTTGAGACTTCGAGGAAGGAGGGAGGGCAAATTAAGAAACCCATTAGTACTTTCTTCGAGCTAATATTCTCTTTAGATGTACATAACACATTTTCTAAAGTCAGTGCCACGCAATATTTTGATTGCGTATTCTGGCCACTATAGGGCTGCGCTTGCTGCGGCAGCACTCGGCGGGAACTCGGCTCACAGGTATCGAAAACGAGTGACTCTGTCAGCGGTCGCCGAGAACTCTGATCCAATAACAACGCTTCGTGCCAGCGTTCGTACCCAAGAAATGGCCACTGCCAACGTTGCTTGATGGAGTTTTAAATATGGTATATTTTTACAGCGGAGCCGTTAAGGGCTAGTTTCCCCAGGGTCGTGTCCCCCGCAAAGAAAAGAAGACACCAAACTCTGGGCAACTACCGCCATCTATGAGCGACGGCGGCAAGCCACGTATCTGGTTGCTGCCGTCGCTCATGGATGGCGGCAGCCTTTCCACTCGGGCTTCCGGCCGGCTATTACTTTCCATTGTGCCGCTCCGCTGGTCTTCCTTCACCAGAGTGAAAAGGCTGAAAGTTTTTTTCTCTGTACAGGAAACTTATATACTCGCAGCTAAACACTCCATCAACCGAAAGCGACAGCGAATTAGTTCC